GTAGAAGTCAGTTATTGATTTTTCTACCTATTCAAACTTTAATTGTTATGTAAAGCGTTAATTTCCCTTGCAAATGTTTGGTCTGATGAAGAGTTGCTGAAAACAATTTTTCCATATCTTGTTCCCCGTTACTGGGTTAATGTACGTGACAAACGTCCGTTCACTTTAAATTTCAAAGGCCATAAATACGATTCCCCACACAAAATATTACTCACTAGGACCTAATGACCCTCTGTTTTTCGAAACCCTACATACGCTCACGACCCTATAACGCAATACCCGCATCTGCCATTATGAAAATACGGTGGCTACAGTTTTCGAAATGTTCTGATATATGTACCTTTGGCCAATTTCAGAAATGTTAGTCTACAGCCAAACCATCAGGCCGATAAACAGAGATAGTTGTGGACAGACAGACAGACAATAGATCGAAAAGACGTAGGAGATGCGAAGACGCGCGCGTAATGTTGACGGATAGACAGACAAGCCAATCAAACTCTCGCTATCAACCAATCACACACGAGCTAACAGCAGCCGTCTGGTAATTGGTAAAACCTTGAAAATTAACCAATCGGGAATGAAAACGCGAGCAGTAAAAACGACGGGGGGAGCACAGGCGCTCAGTGTTCTGCTGGTTCCCCTTTGCGCCGTGTCGCTCGAGGGCTATCCTGTTAAACTTTCATAATGGTAGGTTTGGTGTTGTTTACTTTGACTGGGCGACCTTAGCGTGAATGCATCAGCGTACATGTTGGTCAAGCCGGAGTCCAGATGGGCAATGCCTGCTGGGAACTCTACTGTTTGGAGCACGGCATTCAGCCTGATGGCCAGATGCCGAGTGACAAAACGATCGGTGGAGGTGATGACTCCTTTAACACTTTCTTCAGCGAGACGGGCTCGGGCAAACACGTGCCTCGCGCTGTCTTTGTGGACCTCGAGCCCACAGTTGTGGATGAGGTCCGCACTGGCACTTACCGGCAGCTGTTTCACCCCGAACAGTTGATTACTGGCAAGGAGGATGCTGCTAATAACTATGCTCGTGGTCATTATACCATCGGCAAGGAGATCATCGACCTGGTGCTGGACCGACTCCGAAAATTGTCCGATCAGTGCACGGGTCTTCAGGGCTTCTTGATCTTCCACTCCTTTGGTGGTGGTACAGGCTCTGGCTTCACCTCACTCCTGATGGAGAGACTGAGCGTCGACTATGGCAAGAAGTCTAAGCTCGAATTCTCAGTGTACCCCGCACCCCAGATCTCGACGGCAGTAGTCGAACCCTACAACTCGATTTTGACGACGCATACAACTCTGGAGCACTCTGATTGTGCCTTCATGGTCGACAACGAAGCCATCTACGATATCTGCAGGTAGGTGTTGTGTTATTGTCTGTAATAACATAAATTGCTTTTCTTTAGACGCAATTTGGATATTGAGAGACCGACCTATACGAACCTGAATCGTCTCATTAGTCAAGTCGTGAGCTCGATTACAGCGTCTCTTCGTTTCGATGGTGCACTGAACGTAGATTTGACAGAGTTCCAGACCAACTTGGTTCCTTACCCTCGTATCCATTTCCCCCTGACGACATACGCGCCGGTGATCTCTGCTGAGAAGGCCTACCATGAGCAGATGAGTGTGTCAGAGATTACAAACTCCTGCTTCGAGCCTGCGAATTCCATGGTGAAGTGTGATCCTCGCCACGGGAAGTACATGGCCTGCTGTCTGTTGTACC